GGAAGAACGAGAAAAGACGCTGTATCCTCTCTGCGAAGATCACGGTTCGTGACGCGAGCACTGGAATACTAATCAAGGCTTGGAATTAAATTTCTTTTTCACGACGTTCATTGCTAGGCTACAGTGGGGGATGCTCAACTTGCAGTCGCGGGCAAATTGGCGTCGTCTCGCGTCTAGCAACGTGAGATATCAGCAATAGCGGTAACGAGAATTCAGGCGAGGTCGTGCAGTTTGTTGCAATTATATGGCCGAAGGTTCACAACAGTTTTCATTCATTTTCTTATACATCTGGGTTAAAGCAGCTTCTTTTACGGAATCGGATTTCGAGGATTCTAAAATCTAGTGTACTGTTTTCTTTTATTTTCGCGGAGGAAATTTTCTAAAGACACACTTAAGGTCTATTTACACGTATCCGTAACGTGTCAGTTCCGTATCCGTACCGTATCAATAAAGTCACGGAGCGGTGTCGGACGTGTGTGAACATGCCCATTCAAAAACAACAGAAGAATATTTAAAAACACTGACACTGATGGAACAGTACGGAACTGAACGTATACAGAACTGACACGTTACGGATATGTGTAAATAGAAAATGGTACATAAAAATCTGATAACGATCGACCTGCAGCGAAAATGGACAGTCTGTAGTCCTCTGGTGATGATCGTTTCATTCTCCCAGGTGGACGGAGTGGAGGGAGGATCACGGGCGTAATCTCTGCATAGAAGAGGGAGATAAACGCGAAATAACGGCGCAGGCTGTTGTTACGCGATATAATGCGGCCAGAGAGGCGCGGAATAGGGGAGCTGCAGTTTCGTTGGCTCTAAATGCAAACGGCGCGGGCCAACCGTGACGGGTGGGTAATCCGATGCGCCCGGAGAATGTCGTTTCGCACATTATTTTTCTCTGTCTCCAGGAAATTTCGAACTGCCTCCGCCATGGAGGGAAATCTCACCCCCACGACCGGCTGCAACGAAACGAATTCACTGCACTCGCGGGTTCCATTTTTAAAGGTTCTCGTCTATCGAAATGGCAGACCGCTGTACATGAATTGCGCGCCGTATACTTATGTTAGAGAATATCAATTATTGCCCCCGAATTTTATCCTTCGTGTTGTCGCGTATTTTATTCTTCAAGTTGTTAATCTCAAGGCAAAATATAGGTGCTGCTATCTAGAAACTTTCCTTGGAGGTTAGGTTGGTATATACACTACCGGACAAGCAAACCGGAACGATTTTTCAAATGCTCATAACTATGAGAGTTTTCAACCGATTTCGGTGAAACTTCGCGAGGAATAGTCTTCAAGTGTCTTCTGGGTGTCTACTGCCCAAGCGGTAGATCGATTATCGACCGCGAAAGCCACGAAACGAACGCGGTACGATCGTGTGAGAAAAGCGGGATTGAAAAAATCTGAATTTTTGAATACCTGTTAATAAAACATTCACGCATCCGATACCATGAACGGCGTTAACGTGTGGTTGCTCGTTCACCCTGCAGATGGGCCTGAAGTTGGGGGTGGGTTTTTCCCCAAAAACGACATTTTCGAATTTTATTGCCATTCACGCAGGAAAAAGACATCAAACGAAACAACGAAACAACGTTCTAACCCTTACACTTGGGGGTGGACCACCCCTACCTCTGCCCCCCTCCCTTCAGCTCCGGGGGCAATTTTCGAAACGGGACCTTTTCGGCATTCATCCTTAACGTGTCGAGAACAAACGTGGTGAATTTCATCGCCCTCCGATGTGTGGAAGTACTCCCTTACGAAGGGGGTTGAAAATTTGCGAGCTGTTCCACTCCCCCTAAGGGTGCCTATGGGGTGCACGGTATGAGTGATAGCATTTTCTGAATCAGGAGAGTCCAGAGAATGCATTGAGCCCAAAATCGAGACCGTCGTCCAAAAATTGTGGATTTTAGAGAGGGTGGAAGGTTGTGGGGGGTGGGTTTGTCTGAGAGGGATTTCAAGAGGTGCATTTTGTAGAGGACATCAAGGAGAGTCGTCCCAAAGGTTCTTTTGAATTTTTCAACCTCTTCCGTCATCCCTGGCCGGTCCAAAGAGGTGTTTTTTTTTACACCCTACCCTTTAGGAGGGTGAATTATTAACCCCATCACATCATTGAATTCTATATAACATTATGGGTACTTTCAACTATTATTTAACTCATGAATGAATTTCTACGAGACTATTACCTGTGTATTTTTTTGTTATCTTGCAAAATCCTAGTTTGCCTGGAATATTTACTTAGAGTTTAGATTTACAGACACAGTGAAAACCTCACTCGCGTGAAATTCTTAAACAAATAGTCTAATCTCTAAAAAAAACCTCAGGATCGTAAATAATATTCCCTCCCTCGACTTTACGTTCTTATCTCACAAAGCAGTCGTTAAATTTATGATTTCCCCCGTTCGGCCATGGTTCCGTGAATTTTGAACGGTGCTCGCCGGCCAAGTAAGAATGCGCTCGATAATGATAACGCGAAGTTATCACGGCCAACGGGCGGGAGGAGATGAAAACGGAGATGGGAGCCTTGAAACGGAGATTGTTTCACCGCTAGGCAAAGTATCGCGTGTACAGACACCGTAGAAAGTTTCGCTGACTTCTCAGGGTGAAAGCACTCCGCTCCACCGTTCCCGACGATTTCATTTTCTAAAGATTTCCCCCGGCTACAAAGTTGCGGAAGCCGGGCTCCCGAATGGCACCCGTTCTCCAGTGCATTTCAACGGTTTCCCCGCAGCGAAACACGCGAAAGCATGGCAACCGGCTTTAACGAAAACATACACTGCCCTTTCAACCTTCCCAATCATGGGGAAGGAAATCGGGATAAATTGCGAATGAAATGAAACGGCAGGGATAAAGCGTAGACCAATTATTTATTGCAAGAAATTTCATTGGCGCATTAACTTTTGTTTGAAAGTCAAAAGGAAGTTTATAAAAGTTCATAAAACTCTACGAATCGCTAGAAAGAAAGTTCGGAGAGACTTTGGATTCTTCAAAGATTCGAATATTTCCCTGCCTAGTATTCCCAAGAAACTATCGAGCCCGTTTCGTGTCCCAACCTTCGTGTAAGAGAGGTTTGATGGAATTGATCGGAATATCAAGGGCTAGGGCGTAACGTTTCCCAAAACAACCGAACAGAAACCACCCCTCGAACAGCCACAGCTCCGAAATAACCGGGGTTGAAGTGGCTACGTGGAATCATCCTATTTTCTTAGCGTCGCGCGCGTGCGATTCACGCGAACAAACACGCCCTCCTCGAGGGGGAAGCTCGCGCGAAATTAACGACGCTAATGATCATCGCCTGCACGACACTCTGCTCCCCCCCCCCGCCCTCCCCCCATCTGGAGGCGAATTAGAAAAATAATTACTCGAGCCGATCTCCCGTGAATATTAAGCTTCGTGGATTTCCACGAGTTCCGCTGATTAACGCGACCCGGAAAAGAAATTAATCCCGTACTATCGGAATTTCTGGGCGCAATTACCGGAAGGCGGCGGAGGATTGATGACCAATGGGATTTGATTGATTCTATCGTCTGTGGTTCGCGAGTTCCATTGTTCGGTTACGCGGCCCGGGAGGTTGGGTTTATCGCTTTAGTGGAGTCGTTAGAAAACTTTTATTACGCTGTTGAATCATTACTTCGTGTAATTTTGCACTCCGAGGAGCATAAGCGATGATGCCACTTCGAGGACCGTCAATTTATCTGTCAATGCTGCAAAGTTTGTTCCTTTGGTTGCCATATACAGTCAGTTTCATAAGTCTATTGACGAGATGTGTCTACCTAAATTATAGGTTTGATGCTTCCAAATAAATGATTCATTATAAGCACATACGTGGACAATATATTTGATAGTATCAAATCTAATTTCTCCAATAGAGTGTACAAATATTTACTGAATGGACTGTACGCTATCCCACAGAAGCAAAAGGCTTTATAAATTACCCTAATTGTCACTACACTGAATAAAAGACTGTCTATATTATACAGAAAAATGTTTATAAGGGCTGGTAGTCTGTCACGTCGCGAAAGAACGCAAGAATAGCGTAACAAAACATTACGGAATGACTCGTGTAAAAGACTCCGTTCCAGCGAGGATAATTTGCGTAATTTTTGAAGACAGGAAGAAATTTTTTATGCAGCCGTTGCGTGTCCGCTGCATTTTTAATTTTCTCTCTCTCCTGACTATCCGACGCGACGTTACGTACGAAAAATTCCATGAAAGTGGCACCGGGGCGGAATAATATTTTGCAACTGAAAGCCGCGACCGCGGAGGTCGGGATCGAAATTTGCAAAATTTAAAGCACAACGTGTAGAGATTTCAATATGAAGCACCCTCTGGGGAAAAAACATTGAGGAATTTTAATTTGTCTCTCACTGATTTCGGCATTGACGAAGCAACTCGATCTCGATTCGACGATAAATCGAAAGAGCTGACTTTGTCGCGAGATAAATCGATATTGTACAATTAATTAATAGTATTCGTTAATCGACAAAGCAGGTTCGAACGAGGGTAGCGAGTGCCCGCCAATTGTTGTTTAAAAAATGTATATGCTGCGTATTACCCGTTTTGTTTTTTATTAAATTTGCCTTTTCCAAACGCAAAATTGTTATAAAATTGTATCCCTGATACGTACTAAAATGGTTGAGTAAACGTTGAATGCAGCATTTGTAATATTATTTTGAAAATGTATTAATACCTGAGAATCATTGAATTGTTATATATTCAGATAAAAATATTACGTTCAATATGTTATTTTGGTTCAATAATGTGAAGATGCAATAATGCCAAGTAACAATTCAATGGTTCGCAAACGACCCTCATTCTATAAATTTAGCACACTTGTATTTTTTTTTTTTCGAAAAAAAATTTTATGGGGTTGCAACGAAGGCTAACCCTTTAATTTATTGCTACTTAGTGGCCACAAAATTGGTCATAACGTATCCGAACGTGGAAATGTGGCTACTTTCTAAAGTGTTCATTATTCTATCAGGAAATTTATTTCAGGGGGAAGCATGCAACACCGGAGGAAACTCTTTCAAATCCCAAGCGAGACGCTGAGAGCTGAACCGCACGAGAGACGTGAGTACGCTATTTTGTTTCTCGAATCGAATTTCTCCGCCGTTTTCACGGACAAACGGAAAGCAATTTCGTTGCCAGTCGGATTTTAGACGCGTCGCGTTGGAAATATACGATTGATCGAACTGGGACTCGCGATGGGAACATGGTTTTCGAGGTCGAGTTTAATTTTTCAATTCGCAATTTCTTCCTGGACGCCGCAATATTCGGTTCAAATTGTTCCCTGAAATTTTCCAAACTGCGGTCGTTGTAACAGCGAGCATTCTAACTAGCTACTCTAATCTTGTGGAATACGTTACAGCGAACGTAGAAGTAAATTTTCGACATGCGTGTGTTCCACGATTTGAATTTCCCGCGCTTATTTCCCGTGTGAACTAAATTAGTTCAGCTGCACATAGGTGGATGTAGCAAAGAATAAGGAAGAAGAAGCTTCAGTTCCTAATAGAATTCAGATTCATTGGATCTAACTTTCATGGGAGAGATTAGATAGAAGCAGCGGGCACGAGATAGTAGGAAGAAAGGAACGGTGCAGGTACAGCTGCGCTATTTCTTCCGCAAGTGATGTGATTTATTGCCCATGAGTTACTTATTTACGATCGCTGTATTACAGTAGCCCATTTCATTCCAACAGAAAGAAGCCATCTACCCTCCTGTTCAAAAGTCATCTAGCTCGAGTTCCTTACGGACAGCAATACCGGAGTCCAGCAGCTATTTTTACCTCCAAACACTCTCGCCGTGCCGGTATCTCGTAACGACGCGATTTCCAACTGTCACGGGCCGTTACGCCAAGTAACAGGAACATTCAAGCGAAAAGTTGCGCACAGTGGCGACCCGAATGGACCTTTGATACCTCTGCTGGTGAACAACAACGCTGGTTTTCTTTTTCCCGCGTAAATTCAACCCAGTCGCCGACGATATTAACTTACCTCTCCCTAGGGAGTGAAGAACTGCAATAGCCCGCGTGGAAATCTATGTAGCGGACTTTAACATCCGCTGGGCACTGGACAATAAACCAATGCCAGTCGGTTGTTGCCACATTATTACTCCGCCACGGCTCGTTGTTGTCACGAGCAACATTAATCCGACTGATATCGGAACGCTCACCAAGAGTTACGACAATGCGTCACCCAGGACAGAAAAATCTGGCTGGTGGGATTATTTTCTCTGCTGTTTTTTCTCGACTTTCTCGCTCAAACGCGGGAACTACGGCACGATGGACTTAGAAGTAGTTGTTGTACCTACTACTAGCGCCACCAGTGGAGAAACGGTGAAACTGCGTCGCCTGCGCAGCATAGAGCTGATTAAATGAGCGTGGTACAATGGAACGAAGTTCGTAGAAATAAATAGCGACAAGAACAACTTCTTAAAATATTCGAATTTGATGAATATTGGAGGCATCTGTACTCCATCCCTGTTTTCCTCTTTAGGCAGTGCGAATGAACTCCACCTGCGCCGAGAAGGGCTTATATCCATTTCTTTGGGGTCGGAATAATGGAGCTATGCCAGTTGGGCTGCTTTAATTGCGATCCTGTGCAAGGGTGCGGAGTGGTGGTTACGCAATTATCGAGTCCGAGGGGCTTCGAACAATTTCACCGCGGCCGAATAAATAGTTTCCCCGCGATGGAACACCATGAGTTGAAATGATGTTTAATAGCGAATTGAGTGAGACAATTAAAGACTCGGAGGAGGAGGGTAATCGGCCGTGTAATTGACGAACTTGAGACGAGCCAGGGTGTTTGTTTGGTAGTGGCAAGTGGTATTAGTCGCAAAATAGTTCAATCTTGCTTGTCACCATTGTTACTCGTGTCGTGTATAGGGAGGGACAATCGAGGATGCTGCATCTAGCTCAGCTGACAATGAGGATGACTCTTTCGCAATTTCCGTCGTAATATCGCCACGAACAGAGGGAGAAGTCGAAGTAACATGATGTTTCCCCAAGCTTCGAAGATTATCGCAGCAGGTTGGAATGTTAAATTTTCAAACGGTGTCACCGGTAGCTGCGGGGCTTATCCGACACGATCGCTCGTCACGTCGAGGAAAGTACACGGTGCTTACATTCCCCAGGACGCGAGGCGCACCGAGGCGGAGCTGCAAAGCTCGTAAGAGATACCTGCCGGCTGTAATGAATTGTATGGATCAGCCATAAAAGTCCCAGGATCCCGGATGTCCTCATTATCCTATGCAGGATCGTGATACTGAATTCCGCCTTGTTCGCCGTGCGCTGACTCCCGCGCGACCAGCTTAATTTTCAGGGCAAGGATAAATCAATATTCAGCGAAGCATAGGAAATCCGGTGCGCGTTCGAAACACTGAAAAGCTTCGCGGACTGAAGCTTGCTAGGTCTGCGTAAATTCACCGTTACCCGTAGGTGCAGTGTTACGGGAACGAATTTGATACTAGCCGCGATCATTCCGTGATATTAAAATCGCTGAACTTGGTTGTCATTTTTGCTCTGCTGCCCTAACTGCGCACTGAGAGAAATTTGTTGAGCTCTTCGTGACTCTGCATTTTCTGTTCTTTTTCGTGAGAAATATCCCTGGAGAATAACGTGCAAGTTGTGAAACGCGCTCTGTTTACTGTAAGCGCCATTTTGCGTGGTAGCTTCCTTGAGAGAGGAAGCTTCCCCGCTGGTGCAGGTGTGTGTCTTTAGTATAGCCCCGGTATATGCGAAATTTTAGTGTTTTAGCAGGGCTTTCTTAAGACAGGCTGCTCTAAATTGGCTCCGAGCATCAAAAGCACAGGTACCGAAGCGTTTAGTCATGAGTGTACTATGAGGAGTCTACCTCTCATTTCATGCATCTGTGATGATGTGCTTACCCCGAGTCCTGCATTTTAAACAAAGCCAAGTTACGAATTTACCATCGACGCATTACTGTGGCCCATTTGATTCCGACAGGTGCTGCTCGTTCTGTTAACGAAAGATCCTTTTAACCGCACCTTCCAGCAATGGCGTCTTCCGACGAATAGTCCCCGGCTGTAGGAGAGAGCTACTTTTCGCGTGGAGTTAGTCAGGTCGAGGTGCCTTTTCCATTCAGCCCGTCCATTTCCACGTGCGCTAGCGTATGTATAATACATAGCTGGAAACCATACACGTCTCCACAGATTGCGGGTCATTCCATTCTTAGCTCTCGGCCACTCCGACTGCTGAACGGTACGTGGAACTCCTCTTTCCGCGGCATTATCAAGACTTTTCCCATAAAGTACACACCCAACCTCGCGCAGAAACGAAGGTCTGAGCGTGCTTTTCAAGTTGCGCATCGTCTGCGGACCGCCCCGTCGGGCGTCCCAAAAATATCTGAACTCTCGAGTTTCCGGTCGTGAGGTGGCTGCATACTACCTAGCGTAACGAGAGTCTCCCTGAAAATCGTCTTGCGTATCGCGTGCAACTTTGGAACCGAACGAGTTTCGGGACGATTGTGCCGGCTCTCAGACTTCCAGTTCTCGCGAAGGCATTCCCGTCCTCCTGTTTGGGGAGTTGCCTCGCTGAGTATGCGAGCGGTTTACTCGTTTGCTTATCCATGTCGCGGCTCGGTGGTTGCTTCGAGGCGGTTCGTCGGCATCCTTTGCGCGAGTTGTTTCTTGAACCTGAAAGAGGATTCGACGTTTGCCTGGAAATTGATGGAAGTTAGATTTCGTAGATAGATGGGGAGTCTTATGGGGAGTTCTAAACGTCAGTGATATTTGTAGAAGGCGATTTTTCGTGTAAAAATAAGTCGGAAATGTAGGAGAAAATTTGTTACCCGAGGGCGTTCTTCCCAAGATAATTAACCCTTTGACCGCGGAGACGATTTTTGCTGGAAATGCTTCGGGGCATACTGTTGTCAGGCTCGCGGTCGTGGTTTAAGCGCCTCACCCAAGTAAACGGAATCTTTAAAATCAACAAATCAATTTTGCAAAAATATTCCCTTATAGAGTATGACAACTTAAAAGTTCTTTTTTTCCGAAATACAATTCAGAAGGAAAAACTTGTTCTTACGACTACAATACCGTACACGTTAAATGTCGTGAATCTAGTACTCACATGCCCCGCATATTTTCGAGATCAATTATCTCAAGAGCGGAGTCAGATAGGAAAAGACTTTCTTTAGCCGGAAAGCGGGGTGAAAATCAGCTAGAATCGTTGCTTTGAAATTGAAGCTAAGCGCGTATCCGCGTAACCGTGCTTTAACGTTCCAATAAAGAGAAAGCAATAACGCGGGAACGGATGCGAAATCCCATAAATATCGGCAAGGACTTTATCGTAGCTTGCGACTGGTTTCCAAAATTTTCACGCGTTAATACAGATCTCAGGCAACTTAAAGGGACGTAATGCGGAACTGCATCTGCATAACGCGCGGAACACAATGGTGCAATAGTGGGTTCCAGAGCGTAAGGTCGAGGCGTCGGTAATGAAATCGCGCGTTGCTCTGCCGGCCGTAATGACGACCCCGGGGCGTCGCGACGCTTACCGTTTTCGCGATAACGATGTAGAGAAACAAAGCGAGGCCGCGGTCGCTTAAAATGCACGAAAACCCGACCGTAATGAAATTTTCTCTTTTTCGAACGTCGCGAGAGACCGTAAGCATCGCGTGGACATCACTGGAATATCTCGATCGGGATCGAACCGACGATGATTCTAGCGCGCTTGTATCCTTATTTATTACAAGCATACGATGGTTGAACAAAAAAACATAAGTAACGGTGCTCGGTGGTACGTGTTCGGTAGCGGCTACTGATCACTGAAAAGCGGTGCCGATTGTCGGCGACGAGGCCGATTGTGAAAAAGGCGACACGTATAAATGTCTACACAATCAAACGATGACTAAAACTCCCCGTAATATCGTACAAACTGCGTAGTACCTCAATTTGAACAAAATCCCTCGTATCGATCGCAGTGAAACTGTCGACTAAAACTGGAATGACTCTCCCCACTCTTAGCGATCTCTGTTACATGCGGCTCGTGCAACTTTCGTTATTTGTGAAATCTGAAAACTTGAGATTTGTGCATTACCGTGCGGTGTTTT